CTCCCACCCCCTTGACCCCCTCCGCTCCCTGTGAATCCTTCCTAGCCAATTGCTCGTCAAATTAGCCCAAAGGTTTAGAAATTTTGTGATTATCTGAACCCCATAGAGCCCACTATCCATTTCTCCAAATGCAACAACCTGCCCTCCTAACACAGGGCGCGCTTTTCTGCAGTGCCCCAGCGTTTTTCCAGCCAAACCATGTACAAAGAGAACAGGTAATCCTGGCCGAAACTGTGTCACCCAAGACCACGCTAAATGGGTATTTCAAGCATAAATTCCCCATTTGTGTGTGTGTGTTTGCAACTGCCTAGGGACTTTGCAAGCAACGTTGCCACCTCTGTTGTTTTCGGCAGCATCCTCTGCCTGTGTGTGGCTTGGTTTTGTTCTTTTACAACACCCCAATTTCACAATTTTCTGTCACCCCCCCCCCCCCCCCCATTTTTGGGGGGGTTGGGGGGGGGTAGGACTTCCCTCTCCTGGGGGCTTATGACCCCTGGCTTTGTCCATAAAGCGGCTTTTCTCACGGGATCCCCCCCCCCCACATTTAACACATAGGTGAGAAGTTCCACCCTTCTCGCCAACTTTGTTATGTAAGGAGGTTATTGGGGGGTCCCCAGGGCCCCATTTCCTCTCCTTGGCCCCCCCTCCCCCCTTACAGCAGGAAGCTTGGGCACCAGCCAGCCCTGAAGCAGAGAAATATGCTTTATAAAAAAGACATCAATTGCACGGATTTATGGCCCGGCCAGCATCCTCTCGTAAAACGATTTGTTGAGTGAGAAGCATCCTGATGGCCGGACAGACATAGATAACAATTTTCTTGCAATTAAAAGCAAGGGGGACATCCCCTCAAAGTGACACTTCTCTGCTTTTCCAGATATATGCATACATACATACATATATATGTATTTTTCCATTTTTTTCTTTTCTCTTCCTTTTTTCCTTCCACCTTTTCTTCCCTTTTTTCTTTTTCCTTTCTCCTTCTTCCTTTTTGTCCTTCCTCCTTCCTTTCCTTCTCCATTTTTTCTTTCATTCCCCAACCTTTCTTCCCTCCCTTCCTTTCTCTTCCTTCTTTTCATCCTTTCTTTTCTTCCTCTTTTCCTCTTGTCCTTCCTTTCCTTCCTTTTTTCTTCTTTTCCTTCCTTCCTTCCTTTCCTTCTCCATTTTTCTTTCATTCCCCAACCTTTCCTTCCTCTCTTCCTTCTTTTCATCCTTTCCTTCTTTCTTCCTCTTTTCCTTTTTCCTTTCCTTCCTTTTTTCTTTTCCTTCCTTCCTTCCTTATTTTCCTTCTTTTTTTCCATTCCTCAACCTTTCCTTCCTCCCTTCATTTCTCTTCCTTTTCATCCTTTCCTTCTTTCTTCCTCTTTTCCTCTTGTCCTTCCTTTCCTTTTCTTGTCCTTCCTTCCTTCTTTTCCTTCTCCATTTTTTTCTTTCTTTCCCCAACCTTTCCTTCCTCCCTTCCTTTCTCTTCCTTCTTTTCATCCTTTCCTTTCTTCCTCTTTTCCTTCTTCC